TGACGGGAGTACTAGTCCAAATTAAAGGCTGAAACCATAAAGCTTTTAAAGGAAAGCATAGGAGAATATCTTTATGACTTGATGGTAGACAAAGGTATTTTAGACAATTCATAAATGGCTAACCATAAAATAAAGTAAAATTATAAATTAGACCTCATGAAAATTAGAAATTTCTGTTCATCAAAAGACACCATTGAAGACCAGGCGCAGTGGCTCACGCCTGTAATCCTAGCACTCTGGGAGGCTGAGGCGGGTGGATTGCTCGAGGTCAGGAGTTCGAACCAGCTGACCAAGAGCCAGACCTGTCTCTACTATAAATAGAAAGAAATAATTGCCAACTAATACACATAGAAAAATTAGCTGGCATGGTGGCCATGCCTGGTAGTCCCAGCTACTGGGAGCTGAGGCAGGAGGATCGCTTGAGCCCAGGAGTTTGAGGTTGCTGTGAGCTAGGCTGATACCACGGCACTCACTCTAGCCTGGGCAACAAAGCGAGACTCTGTCTCAAAAAAAAAAAAAAAAAAAGACACCATTGAGAAAATGAATTGGCGAGCCACACAGAAATCAATCTCAAAACATATGTCTGATAAATGACTTATATCCAGAATATGTAAAGAACACTTACAACTCAATAATAAAAAGACAACTTAATTTAAACATGGGCAAAAGATTTTAACAGATACTTCACCAAAGAAGATATACAAATGGCCAATATGAAAATGAAAAATTACTCCACATCATTACCCACTCTAGAAAACAGTATGACAGTTTCCTATACATTTAAGCATATACCCTATGAGCCAACAATTCCATTTCTAGGTATTTATCCAAGACATACAAAAGCATATGTCCACATAAAGATTTTTACACTAATGTTCACAGCAGCATTACTCATAATAGCCAAAAACTGGAAACAATCCAAATGTTCATCAACAGGAGAACACACAATCTGCTGTATATTCATTCAAGAGAACATTATTCAGCAATAAAAAGGAACACGCTATGGAAACAAAAAGATGAATCTCAAAAAAAAAGAAAAAACCATTATGCTACATGAAAGAAGCCTTATACAAGAAAGTATATTTTATATGATTCCATTTATATAAGTGCTAGAATAGCAACAACTATGGTGGAAAAATATCAGAACAGTGGTTATTCCTAGAGGTAGTAGTTTCAGGGATTGACTGGGAAGGGGCATACCATATCAGAGGTAATAGTAATCCTCTATATCTTGACAGGGGTTTGGGTTACACAGATGTATGCATTTGTTAAAATTCAGAGAATGTATACTTAGGATTTGTGCATTTTCTTATATGTAAATTTTTATAATTTTTTTAACTGTAAAAAAAAAATCTTAGTCTCCCAAATTGCTTTGAGCAGGGATGGTAGCCTATGGCCTGCCAAAGGCTAAGGAAATATGATATTGTGGAAAGGGCCCAGACTTTAAAAACAACGAGACAGGTTTGAATCCTGGCTTAGCCATTAATTAGGCTGTGTGTCCTTGGGCAAACTACTTAACTTCTCTGTTTCCTTCTCCATACAAAGGAGACAGCAGCACAATGACCAACATATAGTAGGTGTTCCATAAATGGCAGACAATAATAAATTGACATTTGAGATCATTTCAGGCCACAGGGCCAAAGGTAGTAACATTGCACATCTCACAGACAATATTCCAATCAAGGTGTTAACCTATTAAGGGCTATCTATGAATCTTCCCTGGGGTATTTGTATTTTGGGAGGGAGATGGAGGGGATGGGTAAACTCATAACTAAAGGGTGCGGAACGCACTGTATGGGGGATGGGCACACTCGTAGCTCTGGTTTGGACGATGCAAAGTACTATATGCAACCGAAATGTTTGTACCCCTTAATATTCTGAAATTTAAAAAAATAATAAATAAATAAATAAATTGGGGGAAAAAAACCCAGACCGTAAAAGAGTGCCCTCTCTCCCTCCCCAAGGAGTAAATGAAAGAAGACTTGAAACAGTGCTTGAATGATTTCCTCTCAGTTCCCTGAGCTGTACTCACCTCAGGGTCTGTTCCTTCTCTGTAGGAGCAAATGCTGAAGGTCATGCCTTCAAATGTATGGTCCACCTTCATCACAGCCAAAGCCAACCCGGATGCCGTCATATTTGCTGCCCTTCCAGAAAACTCCATCTTATGGCCAGCACGCTCAATTATCCTCAGAATTCTGCAAGGAACCACAAAGAAGAGCTTTTCTACCTTTTAAAGGTAAAATCCATCCTCCTTAGAAGATTTCTTCATTGTAAGACTTTTCTTTGAGTTTTAATCACTATCTTTATATCATTTAGGAATTACTAGATAAGAGCTTTGGAATCAGACAGGTTGAGGTCTAAATCTCAGCTCCTCTAATTTCTAACTATATGGGCAAATAAAGTAATCTCACTTCGGTGCACTTGCAATGCCAGAGGTAATATTAGCACTTTCAAAAAGATAGTTTTGAAAATTAAATGAAATTCTTGTATGTCAAGTCAGATCCTGCAGGGCCTCATGGGCCCTTATAAGAAGTTTGGATTTTATTCTGGATATAATGGAAAGCCATTGAGTGGTTTTAAAAGCAAGAGAATGACACGATCTGATTAATACATTGAAAGATCACTGTGGCTGCTATGTAGAAGGTCACCTACATAAGGCCAAGAGCAGAGTTAGAGAGACCAATAGGAAGTTATTGTCGATAATCAGCTGAAAGATGTGGGGCTGAAACTGAGGTGGACAGGGTGGGGGAATGGTGGAGATGGAGAGACGTAGATGGATTCCACTGGAGTATTTAAGGGATTTAAAAAATGGATGTAGGCCGGTCACAGTGGCTCACGCCTGTAATCCTAGCACTCTGGGAGGCTGAGGCAGGCAGATCACTCAAGGTCAGGAGTTTGAAACCAGCCTGAGCAAGAGCGAGACCCCCGTCTCTACTAAAAATAGAAAGAAACTAGCCAGACAACTAAAAATATATTAAAAAATTAGCCGGGCATGTTGGCGTGTGCCTGTAGTCCCAGCTACTCAGGAGGCTGTGGCAGGAGGATTGCTTGAGCCCAGGAGTTTGAGGTTGCTGGGAGCTAGGCTGATGCCATGGCACTCTAGCCCTGGCAACAGAGTGAGACTCTGTCTCAAAAATAAATAAATAAATAAAGGATGTACAGGGCCTCATATGAGAGTTGGTTATTGATTGGCTGTGAGCTAGAGGGAGGTCACTTGCACTACTCTCAAGTTTTTCACTTTAGCACTGGTTGGATGCATATTATAGAAATGCAGAACACTAGGGGAGCACTGAGGTTGTGGAAGTAGATTGAGGGTTTGGGCAGGGGTAACTATTTATTTGAAAAATCACTATCACTAAGATTCAGTTAAAATTTGAATGCATTTTTTTTACAACTGGGATTTGAGTAAAAGGACCCCATTGCATCATACTAACAGAGCTTTCAATGTGTAACTACTTGACCTTGAAAATTGTTAGTGACTGTATTTTAAGAAAATAATAATCTAAACAATCATCCCTCAGTATCTGTGGGGGATTTGTTCCAGGACCCCTGTGGATACGAAAATGTGAGGATGTTCAAGTCCCTGATATAAAATGGAATAGCAT